ATATATATATCTGTTTTGTCTGTTTCAGTTCTCCATACACTTGTTTTCTATAACACAGGTAAATCATCTAACAATAATTTAGTGTTTTAGCATCATTGTCACATAAAAAAAATCATATTTAGGAAAACTGAACATTAAATTTTTACCATGCAGGAGCTTGTTGGCATGAGGTTCTGCATTTAGGAGAGTCTTTTATAAAAGAAGGGCTGTTGTGAACGCTGTTTTACTTAACGAAGGCACAAAGAGAGGCAGGAATGTTGAACATGATGGAGAGTGTAGAAAATAAAACCCAACGAGTCGTTCGGTTGCAGAAGATCTCCGTCACCTTGCAGGCTGCAGAGCGGGGAARCACCATTAGACGATCTGCTTCTCATCAACCAGACAGAGGTGTCACWGTGTTGCCATGACCACAAACAGCCTCCTCCACGTTGCTGTCCAACAGAGAGCAAGTCACCAAGACGACMGTAAACATCCAAGTGTTCTGATGTGAAGATGTTTGACTCGTGGAGCTTTACRTTGAGCAAATATTAAGTGGTGATAAATAAACTACATCAGACAGTTACTTYACAGAAAATATGAAACGACAACATAGAAATCCAGCAGCTCACGTTTTATGGTGAAACTTAAAGAGTTTGAAAACTTTTTTTAAAGTTTGCAAATCATTGCGTGCAATTTTTTTAAACTTTTTTTCTTGTTTGTTCTGTTTTCTGAGAGAGAACTAATTTTTTGGGTGTTTGGACAGAAAATAAACAAGTGTTGGATCAGATCAGTATGGAAGAACATTGTGTTCACCAGAGGATAAAAATAGGCTCCTTATCTCGTAATTACAAGACCCAGATCTCAGAATTTTGAGAAAAGATGTTATAGTTATGGGATAGGATTTCATAATTACAAGATAAAAAAAGGATATTAGTAAAATAATTAGCTGTAAATTTTCTATAAAGCCTGTTAATAACAAGTATCCTTTAAATTAAAGCCTTTCCTTTGGAAGTATCAAGCTGATAATAATTTACTTTCCTGATTCAGCAATTCTTCAGTAGTGGTCAGAAAACGGCAACTTTCCAGATTTATGAATAAATATCTTGTAATTATAACATCTTTCCCCATAATGGTGTCAGGATCTCATAATTATAAAATCGTTTTTAATAATTTTGTATTTTTATTTTGTAATTAGGACATCTTTTCCCATAATTATGATGTCATGATTTCATAATTATAACATCTTATCTGGTAATTTTGTAATTTTATCTTGTAATTATGGCATCTTTCCTTGTAATTATGAAATCTTATGATAATTTAGATGAAAATAAGAGACAAGCCCAGCACTGTGTGGTTGTATAACTCTTTTCACATTCAACATTCAACTGGTTACAAACATGCCTAAATAATCCAATATCTTTCAGTTACACCT